GGAAGAACTGAAGATAGAATGGAAGTGTGAAATAGACTGCAGCATAGTTCTTGCCAAGCTATTAGCTCTGCCGAGGGTGTCTGCCAGGGCCAAGGTCATTATTACATTTTGATAAGCATGCTGCCACATCACTTTGCCGATGTAATTTGCTGCTGAGTTCATGCGAATGTACCACCTATGACTAGCTGGTGGTTATATGTGTGCATCTAATACAAATCATCAGGTGGAGGTAGTGTGTGTTGTCGAGGACATTTTGTGGGAGTATTTAATGTGCCACCAGCATGTGTTTTTCATATGAAACACTTGAGGAAGCTTTCCATATAAAACGGTATCGGCTTGTGATCTTGCAAGCAGTATTTCCATTTTTACCAATGCAATGCTGTGGTACGAATATGTGGTTATAGGAAACAAATAATGTGATCAGGTGAAAAGACATCTCTGCCTGTTCGCCAAACAAAGCACCCTCGTGGTCACCCACGATGGAGCGAAGTCGTCTCAAATTATGTAGGAGGCAAAATGCAATGAAATTTCTATTTGGGTACATCTGGTTGTTCTATTTTACAGTCTTAAATCAGAGATCTGAACATACTCTGCTCTTTGTAGCAGCAGCTTTTACTTGGCTCCAGTGATCTTAACATGCTCACGAAGGCAACATCTACACTGTGATTCTGAGGCTCCAGCACCCAGATCTGATGGAAGGAATTATGCAGAGAGCCGTGAAGAGCTAAATCGGCTCACTGAAACTTGAGCTGAGCAGCATCAATGCTTTTCTCAAGGAGTTAGGTCTTAGGTGACAGGGAGGATCTTGACGGTCAGACCAAGGAATGGATCGAGGGACCAGGTGAGAGAGATGGCCTATGAAATTAGGACTGCATTGATAACTAGATGCAAAAGCTAGACCAGGAACCAGATAAAGTAGGTGGAATCATGGACTTTATCCACGACAACATTGATAAGGTGAATTTTTTCGGGATTGTCTACGGGATCTCTGGAATCATGGGATTTATCCATGACAGCATCGGTAAGGTGATTTTTTTCGGAATGGTCGAGACAAGCGAGCGACAGAACGACAGAAGAGGTTGCTGTGTGCGCTGTATGCCATTGCATGACGTGCAATTGTGCAAATCATGATGAATTCTTTCCATTACTTAGAAGAACTCTTCACATCGGGAAAAAGGTACTTTTGGTCCTCAATGTCATTTTCATCGACTTGATGCCCCTGTGTAGTCATATCCTCATTAGGTAGTTGGCGAGTCACCAGTTTGCTTTGATGGAATACTGCAAATCTATTTTTAGCAAGTTAATAAAATAAAAAATATAAAGAAGAGAAATTTATGTTGGAAATATATTTTAAGTAAACCTAATTTCAAAAACTAAAACAATTGAGAATACCCTTTAGTCGAGAAAATCAAGCAAATTCACACAAGAAAAGGGAGAAATTTCCAGTTTTCAATTATTTTAAAGTCTCAAGTTATTGGGTTTGTCGAATTTTTGAAATTTCATTTTAAAAGACGGTGCAAAGCATCAAAATGTTGTATTCCATTGGTCATTGTCAGTCTGCGTAATTACTATCTTTGGTATCCAGTTCTAAATAATATAAAAAATACTGTACTTACTACTTCTAGCTGGCTGAATGTTTGTAAGAACTTTGAAGATAGGAGCATTCGGTTTTTACATATAGCATCGCAGCGCCACAAGCCATGGGAGCACATAGATTTTTTTTCTCCCATGGCTCTGGCACATGGTAGCCCCACACAAAATAGTCCCCAAAATGCTCATTGTTTTTGCCAAATATTTTTTTTTTCAGAATCTTTTGCCGAAAGATTATTTGCGTATATTTGCCAAAAAAAGGCCGCTACTTATTAAGCATTGAGCCCAAGATAAGGACTAGCACTTTTTTTTTGAGAAAAGATAAGGACAAGCACTTGGTTTGCGTCCCCGCTACTCCTCCGACATGGGCCAATCTGTTCTGATCCCCAATTCTAAAATCCCGAGCGTTTCCACCACCGCGTCCTGCGCAGCCAGGAATATTCGAACTGTAGACACAGTGTGGCAGCCAGCGGCATAGGCATCCGGCGTGGCGTCGTGCCTCCGTTCGTCGTGCCTCTGCGCTCTGTCTCGGCGAGCGACGTCGTTCTCTGGCGCTCCTGCAGCAACTGAGCCACTCCGTTGGTTAGTTTTGCTCCCTATCCGTATATTCTTATACTATTTGAAATTCGAGACCTGTTTGCGCTAGATTCATCAATTATTGAAATATCTGCTAGCGAGACTGTTTGCTGTTCACATGCTTGTTTGGATTCAGTTGCCTAACTGAATACAGTTTAGTACCCGGTTATTTACAATGCTTTTTGTAATTATTATTCTCTAGCTCTGCAGTGCTAATTTCGCAGAATTATTATTTTACTAGCACATTTCATTCGCTAAGAACGATAAGTTACTTTTCAGTTGGAACCTACCCTCTTACTTAGTGCATGGCTTTAAGTTAATCCACACGCAATCATGGCTTAAGTTAGTACATGTGGATCATGCTTATAGTTAATGTTTGAAGTAAAATGGTTAAACTGCTAAATCCATATTTTCTGTAACATGTTGTTGCTCCTGAATTATTTGAGTGCAAGTCCACATCTGGGATAAGAAGGGTGGGCCTGTTCTGCGCTAAATTGACACTGTCCTGCAGTAGAGTTGCATTTCATCATTTACCCAGCTTGACAGCCTCTCAATTATATACCCTATATAGTTTTTCCAATTGATATTCTGCAACACAAGTTTCTATTTTCAAATTTAGTCACCTCTTCTTCAAATGATCGCACATGTATCCAAAAGAACCGAAGTCCCCTGTCAAAACCTGTGTTTTGAATTTTGGCCAAAAAAAGGATTTCGGCCAAATTTCGGCCATCTTGGCCCAGGGAGAAAAATATCTTTCGGTGAAAAACTAGATTTTGGTCAAATTTTAGCCAAATTCTCGGCCTGGGGCGAAAAATTTCACAAACCAAAAATCAAAACCTTGGTCAAAACTATGCATCCCCCACAAATGCACCGCCCCTGTTGAGAGTCACCCTCATCCTCCGCCGCCGCGAGCAAGCATGGGAAAGGAAGTCAGGTTCCGTTTTGTATAGTGGGTTCAGGTCTATGTCTAGGTTTGCCTTTGGGGTGTTTGGCGTGATGTTGAGTCTGAGCTTTGTTCCGGCGCCTTCGAGCTGTGGCCGGATCTTCCTCGAGCTGGTATTCCATGGAGGAAGACAAAGGTGGGAGGCAGATCTGGTAAGAGCTCTCGAAATAAGCTTGATTTGATTCCTGATTTGGAGGATTGCCGTTGCCTCGCCCTGCTGCTGTGTCGCTATCGTGGTGACAGGAACGTAAAGCGGAAGAGGAGGAGAGCAAGCTTCTGTCAATCGGGTTGGAGCAAAATCCTCATCGGACAGGGGTGGAGCTATGGTGACTTTTCTAGACGAATGGCGGCGTGGTGAAGCCATGGCGTACTTGCTGGCTTCGCTTCTTCTTCCCAGTTTGGTGCCTAAAGGAGTGTGGTGACTGTTCTGCTGCAGCATGGGGTCCTCCTCCTCTGTCTTGGGTCGGAGATGGAGTGGTGGCGTCTTGGTGGTCATAGCGTCCCATGTAATGGCTGAATCAGATCTTTGCTGGAGCACATAATTGGACTTGATTGTAAATTTGTAATCCTTGTTCTCAGGATAGGATCCTCTATGCAAGTTTCAGGGTATGTGTTGTAATTTTATTTTCTCTGGAGTTCTGGTGTGAGCTTTGTATTGCTATCGCTAGAAATTAATGGAAGCTCTGGATCCTACGGGACCTGACCAAAAAAAAAAAAAATCAACAAAAGAAACCCCTTTCCAACTTGCAGCATGGGACATATGTTTTTCTTCAACATGACAAAATTAGGCTTGTGACGCATGCCAAATGATAATCAAGCTTTCAGCTCACAAACGCAGTTGCCGACTACAGTTTTGTTCATACAAACATACCAGACTTGTTTCCCTAAACTGCCATCCCTCGGTCCTTGCTTATGTTTTCTTTTGCTATGACTAAGCAGCTTAATGTCCCTGCCTTCTGGTAATGCTGGGATAGTTTAATCTGGATTCTGAAGCAATGAGCACTTGTAAAAAGGCCAGGGAGGAAGCTACATCTATTGGGTGTTCAGACAGAGTGAGCAACCAACCTCCAGAGATAAAGGGTGACATTCTCTCCCGTTTGAATGTCGAAGGAGCGGTTAGGACTAGCACCTTATCAACTACTTGGAGGGATGCATGGACTGATATGCCAAAGATATGTTTGCGCGATGGAAATTTTGCACGAACCAAGTCCATTACATTAGTCGATATGGTGCTATTACTCCACAAAGGAACAATAGATGAGTTTGATATTTCAGGTAACAAAAATTACCATGATGAGTTCGCTAGGTGGATGCTCGTGCTGTCAAGGAGATCATCAAGATCGGTTATAATCAAGTTGAGCTCAGGACCAAGGTATAAGATTACCTCATGCATCTTTTCTATCGCGATTTGGACTTTATGCGCCTGAAAAAATGCATCATCAGCTTGCCCCGAGTATTCCAAGGTTTCAACAGCCTAATTGACCTAGGCATGAAAAAAATTCTCTTCCACAGATATGGATATCCAAAATTTGATCTCCTTCCGCCCCGAACTGATTCATTTGAGATTAAGTTCTTTTGTGGGCATCTGAACATTCAAGCTCGTAAACTGAAATATCTAGATGCTGATGGGGGCTTTGAAACATTAATTTGGATGCCCCTAATCTGGAAAGGGCCCTCTCTCTCTTGATCAGGAAGCTAAAGTATATCAATCTGTTCCGATTGCGTATGGCAACTGGCAAGTAGTCATTGGGAACTCCAGCTTTTAATTTGTGGCTTTTTCCCGAAGGTGACCTATTACTAGCTCCAGCTTTACTATGCCTTTTTTTTGCCTTCTGAGTTCTGACTAATCTGTGTTGCTATTTTATTTTATTTATCTGTTTTCTTGTTGCAGTATCTATCAAAAGGGTGCATACTTACAACATTCCCCTCTATGTTTACTTGCCTGGAGAATATTTTTCTAATGATATGCTTTTGGGACCAGAGGCAAGTCTTCACCACTTGTTCATTGTTAGAGAAGGCCCCTAACTTAATGAAGCTTGAGATGTGGGTATGTATGCCCCCAGTAAATCCTCTCCCTCCCTCCATCAGCCAATCTATGTTCCTCGTGTTTACGCTGCCTAATGAGTTGTGATAATAATATATGCGGAGTTACCCTTTTGAGCACATGGGAACAGGATCAGGCGAGCATTCTTGAGCTTACCACATGCAAATGTGAATGGACCATCTTGCAGCGGCGAGTGTGTATGGTTTCGGGGTTCTGGAGTGCGAAGTCAATTTTGTGGCTAAGCTACTGAGCTGGGCATCAGCTCTGGAAGAATTGAAGATAGACTGGAGTGGCGGAACATAGTGCAGCATGGTTTCTGCTAAGCTATTAGCTCTGCCGAGGGTCTCCCAGTGCCAAGGTCATTGTTACATTTTGATAAGCATGCATTCTACAGTGCATCCCCCATCACTTTGCTGGTTTAATTTGCTGTCGAGTAGAACTTTTTCATCTTTCTTTATGCCAAGACTAGCTGGTGGTTATATAAGTGTGCATTTGACGCAAATCATCATCCAGAGGGTAGTGTGTTTTGTTGGGAACATTCGGTGGGAGTACTTGATGTGCGACCAGCAAGTGTTTTCCATATGAAACACTCCATTCCTTTGTTCTGGGTACCATAAATTCCTGATTCTAGCAAATATATCTGTCCGTAAGAAGTGATCACATATATGAAAACATATTCATCTTGTATCAACAAGAATACAAGATGACTCAAAGGCACATGAGTAGACATACGAAGCCTGAAGTCATGAGTCTACCTTTTGGAAATCATAGCATTTATCAGATTGGTTTACGTTGGTTTCATATTGGAATGAGCGCTCAATGCTCTCCTTACATGATCCCTTTTTTACTACAATTTGTTTAAAAGAAAGTCGAAGCCATTTAATCAAACATGTGCTACAACTACTAGCCAGTTACTGTTCTCAGTACGTGCCTAGATCGGGCTTGCTTTTAGGGCGTTTGAATTAATGGCATCCTATCTGTATTACATACCCCCTCCATCCCATAATGTAAAATGTTTTTGCAAGCTAGTTTAGCTTGCAAAAACGTCTTATATTATGGGACAGAGTAGTATATCTGAAATTAAATGGCCATACCTGTATTTCACTTATATAAACTCTCTCTGGGCTCTACTCTGGCAGCCGAGACTGAACGAGGCTCCAGAGGGAAAATTTGTAAGATGCTGTCTTTTTATGAAGAAAAAAAATACCATATCCAAACAAACAAACAAACCCTAGGACGTCATAACATGAAATGTACCATTTTCTCATAACAATAACTTGGGTTGTTTAATTGTATATTGGTGTAGATACATAACTAAAATACAACAGAAAGAAAGAAAGAACACGTGGTTCAGACTATGAGCTCGGGAGGAAAGATCCATGTCAAAGTATAGATATCGTAGACCTGCCGCGTTGATGCGCTAATGCTTTGTGATCTCAAGTTGAACACCTTGCCTGTGTCGTCGAAAACAATATCATCCTCTTTTATCTCCTCCCAACAAGCCGGAACAGACTTTGAAAAGAGCTTGCTAATGAAAATCGCATGGCCGTCTAGAGTAGTCGTCATCGGCACCCACATGCTTGTGTTGGTATCTGCCTAGTGTACATCCACCTTGCGGGTGAAGCTGAAACCGCGTGAATTGTATTGCATCACTAGTTGCCGCCTCACCATAAGCATTTTTCCACATGATTCAACAAAGTACCTAATGACGCAGAGATGACCACCGCCTTCTTCCTCATATATATACTTGATGAACTCTTTAATCTTGTCATGCCCTTCTTCAAGCACATGATTATCATCGGCCTCCTTGCCCTCTTCTTTAAGCACCATATCACCGTCTTCGTTCTCATTCACATTCTCATCACTAGTCGCCTCCTCATCTTCGTGGTCGTTGCTCCACACATTAGAATCATCATTAGCTGCCTCCTCATCTTCATCATCGCTCCGCACAATGGAATCATCATCACATGCCTCATTATCACTCCACACTTTGAAATCATCATTAGCCGCCTCCTCATCCTCGACATCGCTCCACACATCAGAATCATCATCACCTATTTGATGTTGAATGATGCGCTTGATAGTGGTGACCAGAGGTACCCCATTGCTATCAAAGCTCACATTGAGGGAGATGAGGTCCTCAGCTTGAGTGAGTCCGTAGACCACATCTCCAAGGAATACAATCTCGACGATGCGAGTGAAGATAGTACTATATGGCTGCAACCAAACACCTTTCCCGGGCGGATAAAAATGACGGGGTAGCTTGCGCTGTTGGTCATGAAGATGACGAGGTCATCCGGATTCGACCGTACGAACACCTTCCGGATCTGGAACCACTCTGGAACACTGCCGATGATGGCATCGAGTTCGGGGAGTGGCACGGTCGTTCTAAAGAAAGGGTTGTGCAAGAGATAGGTGTGTCTCTTCTGGGCATCAGTGCAACAGGCGGCTAGCCAGTCATCCGACGGAGCCGATGCAGATCGCATTTTTTGGGATGGAGAGGATGGGGCGTCCGTCGCAGTTGAGATCAGATGTAGTAAAAACCTTGCCGGAAAAGACAAGGATCCAAGGCAGCTGGCGCTTCGGCAGACCTCGACGACGCAGAGCACAATGCCACGAGCGACAGACGGCTCGACAGCGCGCGAGATCTACGGTGCTTGGGACCATGCCGATGCTGCGGATCATGCCGAAGATGAGGCCGAGGAGTTCCAGTGGGAGGTCGGACCACGACGGAGTCGACGTCGTCATCATCGCGCCACTTGCACACGTGGCCGATATCGAGGTATGGCATATATTTTTTTCCCTTCTGTGCGCTGCGGCTGCAAGGAATTACGTGCTAGGACGGGACCATTACAAGGGCCAGTTATTTTGGTGGCTTAAAAAATAAGCTGCCTCCTCCCCAGCTTTTCTCATAAGCCACCTCCCTCAGTCATTGGGGCTTCTGAACTTGTTATGGAGTTACTAATCTGAAGTCTCAAAAAAATTTAGGAACGGCTTATTTTTTAAGCTGGGGAAAGGCAGCTTATTTTTTCAGCCGCCCAAAAGAACTGGCCTTATATATGGATGGAGCTTGGCGTTGGTCTTTTACGTACCCGTACTGGAAAAGAAATCACGGTTTGGAGGCAAACCGAGTAAGGTACCTACACGTAGAGGAGCCAATTATATAACTGGCTGATGCGGCGCAAACGTTGGTCGATCCGGTCTCGATCTCTAACCTACCACCATGAACCCGACATTGCCGGATCTGCCGCCGGAATTGGTTCGCGAGATCTCCGGCCGCCTGCACGACGTCGTCGATTTCGTCCGCTTCCATGCCGTCTGCAAGTCATGGCGCGACTCTCACCATCCTACGACAACGAGGACGACGGATCAGTTCCTGCCCTGGCTCCTGGCGCCCGGCAAGAAGGGCGACGACTCCCTCAAGTTCAGATGCGTCTTCTCCAACACGAGCTACCGCGCTCCGCTGTCGCCGCCAATATCCGTCACCGACGGTCAGATGAACCGTGTAGCCAGCGCTGACGGCACCGCCATCCGCCACTTCACCGCTTCCCCCGACGGCCCGACCCTTCACGACCCTCTCGGTGGAGGACCCCTCACCAACATGCCTCTCTTCCCAGACGAGGACGTCAATGGTAAGTTGGGAGAGAATCCTAATGGAATCCTCTACAACGACGGCACCCTGCTGCTGTACAGCAAGCACGACAGCAGCGACGATGACACTGCCGAGTTCAAGGCAGCGCTCCTGTGTCCTGGGGACGATGAGTGGACGTTCGTCAAAAGGACCCTTGAATCCCCCTACTACGGCGAGTTCTGCGTCGCGTATCATGACGGAAAGATCCTTGTGACCGTGAAGGACGACCTCTGGCTCGTCGTGACAGCACCATCCGCTGCTGCAAACAACGACCAAGTGCTGCTCCCCAAGTTGTCATGGATGCCGTGCGAGCATGATGGTCGCTACTATGAGTACAGCTATGTGCTCGACTCCCATGGCGAGCTTTTGTGGGTGTCGGTGCATATCAAGATGGATTACCTGAAGGAGAGTAGCACGAGCGTCTGCGACCTGGTCCAGGCACTCTCGATGTCCGTACACACACTTGAGGAGGTCACAAAGGGACCCAAGAAGTTGCGTTGGGTGAGGAAGGTTGGCCGGAGCCTGGCTGACCGTGTCCTATTTCTGGGGTGGCCCAATAGTTTTGCCGTGGACGCCTCGAGGCTAGGTGTGAGTGGTGGATTCACCTACTTCTTGTTCTACGACAACCACCGGCTGCGTAAGCGGCATGGCGTTTTTAGGTACAACCTCATCGACAACACGACCGAGCTCATCGAGTAGTTGCCCCAAGGATGGGACAACGAGATGTGCGCGTGGCTCGTCCCCCAGCCCACCATTGCTCCAATCAACCGAGGTCTAGCAACAACTCCAAGGATCAATAACATGATTCACATGGAAAGATGCTATGGCCTTCTTTCTCAGGTGTTTGTGCGCAACCTACCTCTTCACGCGAATGACTCTCAGCTGCAACAGTTGTTCAGTAAGTACGGCAGAGTGTCCAGCACCAAGGTGTCCAGCAATCGCAACGATGCACGTTTGTCAGGATGACGCGCTCGCTGCTTTGGACGGGTTGATTTTAGATGGTTGCAGGCTCGAGGTTATCTCGGTCAAAGGCAGGTAATAACGAGATGATGACACCGATGATATAGTCTTCTATCGGTGCGGCATAGAATATGGTTTAGTTGCTTGTTGACTAGTACTCCCTCCGTTCCAAATTACTCGTCGCAGAAATAGATGTATCTAGAACTAAAATATATCTAGATACATCCATACCTGCGTCAAATAATTCGGAACGGAGGGAGTATTAACCTAATGTTGGGGCTTCATTGCATGACGAATTTAGCTCTCCATAACATAAGATTACATCATGAAAGAAAAGAATATGGTGGTGTAGCACATATTTGCTAATGTATTGGAGCCAATTGATAGAAGGCCAGTAATTTCTGGTGCTGTAGTTGGGTATGAAACTAGGGTTGAACAGATCACACATATGAATGTGTTTACTTGTTATGGTAATAGAGCCCGTGGAACAGGTCCGTGTGATGGAGCACACTTGTTTGAAAGGATCAACAAGGCAAGGTGTTTTGCCATTGCCGTAGTC